AACAATACAGTGGACTTTGGGGACTCGGGGAAGTGTGGGAGGGGGTGAGGGATAAAAGAACTACAAATTGGGTTCAGTGTATACTGCTAAGGAGATGGGTACACCAAAATCTCACAAATCACCACTAAATAATTTACTCATGTAACCAAATATGACCTTTCCCAAAAACCTATATAAATTTTTTTTTTAATGTAATGCAGAAAAGAAGCTTAAGAAAGAAATCTTAAAAAATAGAAGAGTCATTGGCATCTTGTAATGAGACTAGATGGGATCACAAGGAAATGAATAAACAGAAAAGAGGAGATAACTAAGGACTAGAGCTGCACTGTCCAATTACAATAGTCACATGTACCTACTGAACCTGGAAAATGCAACTAAATTGCACTGAGAAGTGCTGTAAAGATAAAATACATATAAGATTTCAAAACTTAATATACATTTTAAATGTAAAATATATAATTATTTTATATTGATTCTATGTTGAAATAATTTTGGATATGTGAAGTTATAGAAAATATTATTAAAATAAGTTATATAATTTCTTTTTAGTTTTCTTAATATGGCACTTGAAAACTTACAATTACATGTGTTGCTTGCATTATATTTCTATTGGACAGCCCTAGACAATATTCTTGATCAGGATAGTGCTATGATTAGGTTTGTTTTAATACCATTGCTCTATGAGTAATAAGAGATTAGATTTGAGATGTTAGGGAAGTTAGAAAGAGGCTACTACAAGTGATTCAGGTAAGAAAAATACGGCCTTAATTCAATTCAGAGGTGCCAAAATATGGGTTCTGTCTTAGTCCCATTTTGTGTTGCTGTGATAGAACAATCACGGGCTAAGTAATTTATAAAAAGAAAACCAAATGTATTTCTCACAGTTCTTGGGGCTGGGAATCCTAATATCAAGATGCTGGCATCTTGTGAGGACCTTCATGCTGCATCATCTCATGATAGAACTGTAAGGGCAGGCCGGGGACAGTGGCTCAGCCTGTAATTCCAGCACTTTTGGAGGCTGAGGCAGGCAGATCAGAGGTCAGGAGATCGAGACCATCCTGGCTAGTACGTGAACCCTGTCTGTACTAAAATACAAAGATTAGCCGGGCATGGTGAGGTGGGTGCCTGTAGTCCCAGCTACTCGGGAGGCTGAGGCAGGAGAATGGTGTGAACCTAGGAGGCGGAGCTTGCAGTGAGCCGAGATCGACTACTGCACTCCAGCCTGGGCGACAGAGTGAGACTCTGTCTCGGGGGGAAAAATATCAGTGAAACAGGTGTTGATATTTTGCAAAGTTAAATAAATTTGACAAATGTTTAGCAGACTAACCAGGAAAAAAAGAGAGAAGATTGAATAAATAAAATCTGGAATTTAAAAAGAGACATTAAAACTGATGTTGCAGAAATTCAAAAGATCATTAGTGGCTACTATGAGCAACTATATGCCAATAAATTGGAAAATCTAGACAAAATGAACAAATTCCAAGATACATACAACCTACCAAGATTGAACCATAAAGAAAGCCAAAACCTGAACAGACCAATAACAAGTAATGAGGTCAAAGCCATAGTAAAAAGTCTCTCAGTAAAGAAAAACCTGGGACCTGATAGCTTAACTGATGAATTCTACCAAACATTTAAAGAACTAGTATCAATTCTACTCAAACTGTTTCAAAAAAAATAGAGGAGAAGGGAATACTTCCAAAGTCATTCTACAAGGCTAGTAAAACCCTAATACCAAAACCAGACAAGGACCCATAAAAAAAAGAAAAAAGAAAACTACAGGTCAATCTGATGAATATTGATGCAAAAATCCTCAACAAAATAATAGCAAACCAAATTCAACTATGCATCAGAAAGATCATTCATCGTGACCAAGTGGGATTTACCCCTGGGATGCAAGAATGAATCAACATACCAAGTAAATCAACGTAGAACATTATATCAACAAAATGAAAAATAAAAACCATAAGATCACTTCAAATGATGCTGAAAAGTCATATGATAAAACTCAACATCTCTTCATGTTAAAACCCCTCAAAAAGCTGAGGATATAAGGAACATACATCAATATAATAAAAGTCACTTATGACAGACCCACAGCTAGTATCATACTGAATGGGGAAAAATGGAAAGCCTTTCCTCTAAGATCTGGAACACAACAAGGATGCCTACTGCCACCACTGTTTATTTAACATAGTACTGGAAGTCCTAGCTAGAGCAATCAGACGAGAAAAAGCTATGAAGGGCATCCAAATTGAAAAGGAAAAGTCAAATTATTCTTGTTTACACATGATATTGTCTTATATTTGGAAAAACCTAAAGACTCCACTAGAAAACTATTAAAACTGATAAACTCAGTAAAGTTGCAGGATGCAACATCAACATACAAAAATCAGTAGCATTTCTATATGCCAACTGTGAACAATCTGAAAAAGAAATAAAAAGATTAATCTCATTTACAACAGCCACATAAAATTAAATACCTAGAAATTAACTAGGGAACCTGGAAACAAATCCATACACCTAGAGTGAACACATATTCAACAAAGGTACCAAGAACATATACTGGGGAAAAGACAGTCTCTTCAACAAATGGTGATGGGAAAACTGAATATCCATATGCAGAAGAATGAATATCTCTCACCATACACAAAAATCAAATCAAAATGGATTAAAGACAAATCTAAGACCTCAAACTATGAAACTACTACAAGAAAACATGAGGAAAATCTCCAGGACATTGGTTTGGGCAAAAATTTCTTGAGCAATACCCCGGAAGCACAGGCAATCAGAGCAAACATGGACAAATGGGATCACATCAAGTTTGAAAGCTTCTGCACAGCAAGGACACAATCAACAAAATGAAGAGACAATCCGCAGAATGGGAGAAAATGTTTGCAAACTACCCATCTGACAAGGGATTCATAGCCAGAATATATAAGGAGCTCAAAAAACTCTATAAGGAAAAAATCTAGTCATCCGATTAAAAAATGGGCAAAAGATTTCAGTAGACATTTCTTGAAAGAAGACATACACATGACAAACAGGCATATGAAAAGGTGCTCAACATCACTGATCTTCAGAGAAATGCAAATCAAAACTACAATGAGATGTCATCTCACCCCAGTTAAAATGGCTTATATCCAAAAGACAGGCACTAACAAATACTGGTGACAATGTGGAGGAAAGGGAACCTTTGTACACTGTTCATGGGAATGTAAATTAATACACCCACTATGCAGAATAGTTTGGAGGTTCCTCAGATAACTAAAAATTCAGCTACTATATGATCCAGCAGTCCCACTGCTACATATATACCCAAAGGAAGGGAAATCAGTGTATCAAAGAAATATCTGCACTCCTACATTTATTGCAGCACTGTTTACAATAGCTAAGATTTGGAAGCAACGTAAGTGTACATAAACAGATGAATGAAGAAAATGTGGTACATATACACAATGGAGTACTACTCAACCATACAAAAGAATGAGATCCACAACTGTAGCAGCTCTGCTCCCACCTCAGGCCTGCAACACAGGAGAGCACAATTCCAGTGCTCACTGCTCAGACACTTTCCACAATTCTAGCTGTGGAGGCTCTTAGCCCACACCAGGGCAAGAACTCCAATCTCTGGCCCAAGACTATAATCCTTACGTGGCCATGCTGCAGGCTCACCATGGAATGACTGACTTTGTATGCACCCAGATTAAAAATGATGTCCTGCTATTGGTCCTGGATTTGGGAAAGTGTCTGCAGCTTTTCCCAGTGCCTTTCCCTCTCAGTGTCTCCAAGCTTCTCCCTAAGTTAGCTCCAGGACTTGGGAGAAATAAAATGCTCCCCTTCAGCCTGGGTTCCTTGGATTTCTCATGGAAAGATGAGTCACAGAGGGAGGCTCTCTGCTTCTCTCACACAGTGGGACTTCACTCACTTCTATCAGCCAGACATCATCACGGGGAATGTTTGCCCATGTCTCTCTTCCAGGATCTGGGTGTCCTTAACAACACCCATGAGTTTCTGTTTTCCTTTTTGAATTAAAGCCCACAGAGTTGATCTTTATGCACTATTCTTTTATTTCCAAGTTGCTAAAGTATGCTAAAAGCCCCCTAATCTGCCATCTTGGAAAAAATCGAAACATTATATATAACTATTACAATACTACCACAATAACACAGTGTAACAGATTATCCTCATTTTACCAATGAAAAAAGCAAAACTAAGTTATAGGTTAAGTAATTTTCCTGAGTCACAGAGAAAGCAAAGAGCAAAGAACTCAACCTCAGATCCTTCTTACTTCAAAATTCTATTTAGCATTGACATATGGGTTTCCAGATTTTTCTGGGAAAAGAACATCCCTCTCCCATACTACTAACTGACCTGTTCATTTCTTAACGCTGTGGAAAGTTTTATAAGTTCATAAATGTTGCATCTGTGAGTAAAATAAATTTCTGATACACCATAATTGCCATCTTTCTAACAAGTGTCACGAAATGATAGAAGATCTCAGAACAAGCTTCTCATGGAAGACATTGTATAATTCTTCTATTTAAGTATGTAAACTGAAGCACCAATATTTTTGAATATTTTCTATTAATAAAATATGTAAGCATTATATTAAAAGTATTTTCATATGAAGTCACCAAGATACAACATTTCCCAGTAGTAAATTCATTAATTGTGTGCATTTTCCTGTAATTCACATATTGGCTTTAATAAATTATAATTGACAAAAACTAAGGAAACATTGATACTCCTTTTTCCATAAAGTCACTTCAGAATGCCCTTAGATTCTATTTCCAATACATATATTAAATTAGTAGCCAGAGATTTCATGGCTTTCTCCCATCTCCACAAATAAAAAAAAAACCTTTGAATTATATCCTGAATGATTTTCTCAATGGTCCCATATTCTTTATGTTAAAACATTCCGGAATTCTCTTACTTTTTAAGTTTATACATAAGCATAATGACTGGGTATTAATAAATGTAATCTTTGTTTCCAGTTTATCTTCTCGGGAGCCTTTACAGTATTGTTAGAAAAGAGACGTTCACCATTCTTGGTAAGTCAGAATGCTTATAGCAGCTCTAGAGTTTTATTTGCCAAAAGAAGGAAAGTCAGTGGGTAGGCAGCATTGTCTGTGTGTCACTAGAAACCTATATATAATTGAAGAATAGATTTTTAAAATATAAGAAATGTAAGTTTCCATTGCATTTTCAAACAAAAACAGAATACATGCCAGTTACTGAAGGCATTGTTATATTTCATCAGTTGTAAAAATAACTCAGATGTATGAAGTTAATCAAGAAGCTAAATTTCTACATGATAAATCATTTAGTGCAAATTAAAATTCAATGAAGACATAAATATAGCTATCTTGAAATGACCCAGTTTCTGTTATTACCTTCTTTTTCTCTTGCTTCTTTCTTCACATGTCTAGGAACTTTTAATTGTATGGGGGCTACTGTGTATGCGGTGTTTCAAAGAGTCTGGATCATGTTGATTTCCTTTAGTGAATATTGCATTTTGTATTGATAGGAAGTGAGGTGAAAGAATAAGAAATTAGAATAATTATGTATGTAAATGCTAGAAGATTGACTTCTGGAATGGCAGACTGAGAACTCCATGAAATCATTCTTTAACAAAAGCAGGGAAAGCACTGGCAAAACAACCAAAAGTAATGATTTCAGAGCATTGGAAATTAATCAAAGCCACAGCTAAAACAGAAAATTATCTAAGAGATACTAGTAAACCTCAGAAAAATAGAGAGATCTATAATGTTTTAATTTGAGGCTAATTTCTATCCCCTCTCCCTTCAAGCTCATTGGCAGAGTATGTATGAAAAGCCAGCAGTAGAGCAACCAGCTGAGAGGACCGACATCTTGTGATGCTCTATTAAAAGTGCCATCATCTGAGCACAGTCAATATTTTGTCTGAAATTGTACCTCTGTTCCCAGGATGTTTTGGCTATTTTTTGTATAAAGATTTCAGCTCAGTGAAAACAAAGTCCTACCACTGGATGGCGTAAACACCATCAATCTGCTAACAATAGCACAGCTTAGTAAGGCTATGAATGCAGGTAAATAAGGGCTTGGTCAGAAATTTAAAAGACAATCCTGAATAACTAGATAATCATAAGGAGCTTTGAAAAGCTCTGACATATTCTTGGAGATCTAAAGTCCCTCACAAATATGGAAAACTATGTGCATGCCCAGGAAACTACTAAGAAAGAAGAAAAGTCCACCACTCCTTTACCGCTGGCTGACTATGAGGCCCTAAGCAAGGAAGAAGTGAAAGCTGAAGCTGTCTTATTAACTAACTGAAGTTTTAAGCATATATTCTCATACATACTCTCCTTGGCAAAGGATTATGGACTGACATTAAATTACACTGGGCCAGGGATGGCTCCCAGGAAGCAGATAACCCATGGGCCACATTGAGGGAATAAAATATTTACAGAATTAATCCAGGAAATTTAACAAAGAAGAAGAAATAAGAAAAACAAAAACAAAAAAAGCAAAAATAGCAAAAAAAGCAACCAACAGAAAAATATTACTGTGGGGGCCAAAATTTGGTACTTACTACTCAAAGACTTTAAATTAGATCTTTTATGGTCAGAGAACCAAAAAAAAAAAAAATTGTTTAAAGAATTAAAAGAAAGCATGAAAGTGATATGTCATCAAATACAGAATATCAATAAAGAGATAGAAATTATAGATTTTAAAAAATTAACATGCTAATTGGAATTCCCATAGAAATCACTTTAAAACATGACTGAAAATATACACAACAAGAAATAAGGCCATCTCCAGTGATGCCAGGCACAAGTTCAACTCAAACTATCCTAGACTCCAGACTAGTCCTATGGACCCAGACTCTACACCTGCCCTAGCACCAGGCCAACCCTAAGCTGCAGGCCAGTTCCTATAGCCCAAGTCTCCAGAGGACCCAGTGTCTACACCTGCTCCAGTAGACCCAAGGTCCAGGCCCACCCCAGTGGACCCCATTGCCAAAATGAGCCACATGGACTGAGGCACCATGACCACCCTTGCAGACCCATTCCAATGCCCATGGACTCAGGACCCAGACTCATCCCTACAGACTTGGTTTAGACTTGCCCCAGCACCAGACCAGCCCCATGGACTCAGAATGCAGACCCATGTCAGTGGTCCCAGGTGCCAGGCCCATCACAACATCTGAGTGACCCCTAAAGACTCAGGCTCAAGGTTCACACTAGTATCAGCTCAGCTCTTGTAGACTCAGGCTTCAGGCTGGCCCCATTGGATACAGGCTCCTGGCCCATACTCATATGCCAATCAACAAGTCCACCATGGTAGATCAGGGCTACAGGCATAACTCCACAGAACCAGGATTCAGGCCCACCTACCTGCTAACCTGGTATGAGGCCAGCTTGCCTGAGGACTCCAGCAACAAGCCAACCATACCAGATGTTCTGCCCAGAATCTCTGAATCTGGTGAAAGTCTTTTCTAGACAAAGCCAGTATGAAAAATCTGGAATAAAGCTCCTACTTCAAATGGACAGATATCAACATAAGGCAAAAAAAGATGAGAAAACAAGAAGACATACCACAAAAACAACACAATATGCTGCCGATAGCTGACCCCAAATAAATGGAAATATATGAACTTCATCATCAATAATTCAAAGTAATTGTCATTGAAAGGCTCAAGGAACTTCAAGAAAATGCAGATAATTTTATAAAATCAGGAAAACAATAACTGACCAAAATGAGAAATTTAACAGAGTGAATAAAATTATTTTTGAAAATTGAACAGAAATTCTGAAGCTGAAAAATAAATGAATGAAGTTAAAAATGCAATAGAGAGCAGCAACAACAGAATTCATCAATCAGAAGAAATACTGTGACACTGAAGACAAGGCATTTGAATATATACAGTCATAGGAGAAAAAAATGAAAAGGACAAAAATGTCTATAGGATTTGTGGGACAAGATCAAAAGAGGAAATATTCAAAATATAGGAGTTCAAGAAGACGACGACAAAGACAAATGGCTATAGGAAGATTATTAAAATAACATAAGAAAGCTTTCTAAATCTGGGAAAAGATATAAATATCCAGGTACAGGAAGGACCAAAGGTCTCCAATTAGATCAATCCAAGCAAGATTACACCAAGATATAATCAAACTGTCAAAAATCAAAGACAAAGAGAGGCTCCTGAAAACAATAAGAAAAAAGAAGTAACTAATATATAAGAAAGTTTCAACAAGACTGGTAGGAGATTTCTCAGCACAAATGTAACAGGCCTGGACAGAATAGGATGATATAATCAAAGTGGTGAAAGAAAAATACTGTCAACAAATGACCCAGGAAAGCTGTTCTTCAAAAACTAAGAATGAAGACTTTCTCAGACAAACAAAAGCTAAGAGAGTGTATTATCCTGTAATGGAAGGGTCAAAGCTTACAAAATTTTAGTTAGATAGGAGTAATAAGTTCAAGAGACCTTATGGTGCAACATGATGACTATAGTTAAAAACACCAGATGTAACAGAGGTGTTGAAATTATCACACTGTGACTTCAAAAAGCTATGATTAATATGCTGAGAAATCTAATGGAATAAAGTGGGCAACATGCAAGAACAGATAAGTAATGTAATCAGAGAAACAAATTCTAAGATGTAATAAAAAGGAAATGCTAGAAATAAAAAATGTTATAACAGAAATGAATAATGCCTTTGATGGGCTCATTAGTAGTCTGGACATGTCTGAGGAAAGAATTCGTGAGTTTAAGGATCAGTAAATGTAGAAGCATCCACAACTAAAAAGTAAAGGGGAAAAAAAACTGAAAAAAAGCAGGACAAAAAATCCAAGAACTGTGAGACAAAGACAAAAGAAGTAACATGTGCATAATGGAACTGCCAAAAAAAGAACAAGAGGGAGCGGAAGAAATATTTGTAGCAATAATGACTGATAATTAATATCAGACCAAACCACAGATCCAGAAACTTAAAGGACACTAAGGAGAATAAATGCCAAAAATATACACTTAGGAAAATTATACTTAAACCACAGAAAATCAAATATTTTTTTAAAAATTTTGAAAAAAGTTGTATTAGTTTGTTCTTATACTGCTATATAGAAATACCTGAGACTGGGTATTTATAAAGAAAAGAGATTTAATTGACTCACAGTTCCTCAGGCTGTATAGGAAGCAGGACAGCATCTGCTTGGCTTCTAGGGAGGCCTCAGGAAACTTAAAATCATGGCAGAAGGTGAAAGGGAAACAGGTACATCTTACATGACAGGAGCACGACCAAGGTGGGAGGAGGTGCCACACATTTTTAAACTACCAGATCTCATGATAACTCATTCACTCTCATGAGAACAGAGGGGGAAATCCACTCTTTTGATCTAATCACCTCCCACCAGGCCCTGCCTCCAACATGAGAGATTATAATTCAACATGAGATTTGGGCAGTGACACAGATCCAAACCGTATCAGAAGCCAAAAAGAAATTACCTATAGAGGATCAAGGATAAGAATTACATAGGACTTCTCCTCATACACCACACAAGTAAAAAGAGTGGAGTTAAATATTTAAAGTATTTGGAGAAATGCCAACCTAGAATTCTGCAGTCTGTGAAATTATTCTTCAGAAGTGAAGGAGAAATAAAGATTTTCTCAGACAAGTAAAATTGAAGAAATTTGTTGAGAGTAAACCTGCTTTGCAAGAAATGTTAAAGTTAAGATTTTTCAGGAACCAAAAGAAATGATATTTGTCAGACTTACAACTTAATAAAGAAAAAAAGATAGAGAAAGAAAAAGTGAAGGTAAAAAATTAAAACTTTCATTTTTCTTATATTTAATCTAACAGTTTGTTCAAAATGATAATAGCAGCAATGTATTCAATGATCACACCCTATGAATAGGTTTAATGAAAGAAAGCAATGATACAAAAGATGAGAGGAAGGAATTAGAACTACTTTGTTAACATAAGATACTTGTACTATCTGTGAAGTAGTATATTGTTATTTGACAAATAGAGTTGGATTAGTTGTAAATGTATATTGAAAACACTGT